CGCATCTTCTGCATGTGGTAGGACGTGGCAGCCCAGGTCTGCTGGAGGTTGGCACGGCTGTTGCGGTGAACCAAGGTGTGCTTGTGGTAGATGGTGAGGTTCTGCTTGGACTTCTCAGAAACACGACCGATCTTGTGAATCAAGCCAGCAGGAGGCCCGCAGGTGGCGAAGCAAGAGCGGAACTGGATCTCATGCTCCTTGCGGACTTGGAAGACAGCACCCAGTTCCTCATTGAACAGGGTCTCCACAACATCCTTGGTGTTGGAGCTAGCGCAGATGTTGTCAATCATGATCTCAACACCGCAGCGACCGGCGAACATCATCTCAGCCAAGGTAGTGAAGAGACCACCATCGGACCGGTCGTGGTAGGCCAGGACGATGCCTGCCTCCTGCAACTGCTGAGCGGCATCGAAGAAATCTCTGAAGATCTCGATGTCACGGATGTCGGGGCATTCGTCGCCAACCTGGTTGAAGACCTGAGCAAGAGCGGAACCACCCAGAGCCTTGCGACCGAAAGACAGGTCGACGAACATCAGAACGGTCTCGCCGACGTCCTCGAGACGACGCAGGGCGGGGGTCCAGGTCTTGCGGTAGTTGGCAACAGGCGCGAAAGCAGAGATGACAAGAGACATGGGGGCGGTAACTTCCTTAGCCTCCTGTGAAGACTCATCCTTCCACTTCATCTTCATAGACATGGAGTCTTTTCCGACGGGAATGCTGATGCCAAGCTTGGGGCAAAGCTCCATACCAATAGCCTCCACGGCCTCGTAGATGGCAGCACCCTCACCAGGATGGCTGCTGGCGGACATCCAGTTAGCAGAAAGCTTGACGCGGCTCAACCGGTCAACAAGATCAGCAGCAACAATGTTCATGAGAGACTCAGCCACCGCCATACGGGCCGAAGCAGCGGGCGAGATAAGAGCAAGTGTAGGCTTCTCACCCATGGCCATGGCCTCACCAGACTTCACGCCCTGGACGAGTGCGGTCGCAGTGACAGCAACGTCGGCCACAGGAGTCTGCCATTTGCCAACCATCTGGTCACGAGCAGTGAGACCACCGACAGTCCGGTCACCGATGGTAATGAGGAAAGACTTGGATCCGACGGCCGGGAGGGACAGAACTCTCTTAGCGGCCTCCCCAAGGATCTCAAGAGGGTTGGATGCGAGGGACGGGAGGTATGTGGAGAGACTAGCATCGACGGCGGGAAGCGTCAACTTGCGGGAGTCGACCACCCGGGTCATCTTAGGAGGCTTGCCGAAAAGAACAGACAACGGCAGGTCAATCGGCTTGGGGTACTCGGTGGACTCGCGGTCCAAGAGAATGAGCCTCTTCTCCTCCTCAGAGGTACCTCCGCCGCGGCCGACGACAGAGAAACCGCAACGTTCACGGTTGGCGATGGCGGTGAACTTGTTCATGCTCTCCTCACCAACAGCCATGACGTATCTCTCCTGAGCTTCGCAGCACCAGATCTGCATGGGGCTCATACTCTTGTCGGCACTGTCAATCTCACGAAGCTCAAAAGTAGCACCCAGACCAGAGTCGTGAATGAGCTCAGGAAGGGCATTGGAAAGACCACCAGCTCCGACGTCGTGGATGAATTTGATAGGGTTGGCATCGCCCATGGAAGTACAGGCGTTGATAACCTCCTGGGCTCTCCGCTGGACTTCAGCATTGCCACGCTGGACACTGGCGAAATCGAGATCCGCCGAACCTTCACCCGAAGTGATACTGGATGCAGCGCCTCCACCCAGACCAATGAGCATAGCAGGTCCACCCAAGACAACAAGGTAGGCGCCAGGCTTGACAGCTTCGGGCTTCTTGATGGCGTGCTGGGGTCTGACAGTTCCGACACCACCAGCAATCATGATGGGTTTGTGGTAACCACGAACCTCAGTTTGACCATTGCCAACATCAATTTCGGTCAGAAGGGTACGGAAGTATCCTGAAATGCAGGGACGTCCGAATTCGTTGTTGAAAGCTGCACTTCCAATAGGAGCCTCCAGCATAATGTCCAGAGGGCTAGCAATGTGGTTGGGCTTGCCAACATCCAACTCCCAGGGCTGCTTCAAGCCAGGAATGTTGAGATCAGAGACACAGTAGCCGGCAAGACCAGCCTTAGGCTTGGAACCCCGACCCACGGCGCCCTCGTCACGGATTTCTCCACCGGATCCGGTCGCTGCACCCGGGTAAGGGGAAACGGCAGTAGGGTGGTTGTGGGTCTCGACCTTAGCCAGGAAGTGCACCTGTTCCTTGGTGTGGCCCCATTCTCCGGTAGTCGTGTTAGGGGCCCAGAAAGCGGAGTGATCTCCCTCGAGCACGGCGGCGTTATCGCTGTAAGCACTCACGGTGTATTCGGGGTTCTTCTTGTGGGTGTTGCGGATCATGGAGAAGAGACTGTTGGGCATCTGCTTTCCATCAATGACCCAGGAGGCGTTGAACTGCTTGTGACGGCAGTGCTCGGAGTTGACCTGCGCGAACATGAACAGCTCAACGTCAGTAGGATCACGAGCGAGAGGACCGTTAGGTCCGTAGGCTTCGGCCAGGTAATCAATTTCCGACTCTTCCAACGCCAGTCCGAGTCGCTTGTTCGCCTCCTGGAGGACCTCCTTGGGGGATTTATCGCTGCCGTGAAGAGGGATTGTCTCGAGGGGTTGAGGGCTGTGCTCGGAGAACATCAGGTGAAGATCCGGTTCGTTCTCGCTCATAATCTGGGTCATGCGGTCATGGAGGACATCCTGGAAACCATCCTTGTACTCGCTGCTTCCGCTGTGCAGGCAGGACACCTTCATACCCCGCTCAATGCGCTTCACGTACTGGCGCAAACCGCAGACATGAGAGATACCAGTAGCCTGAGAGCTCCAAGGAGAGATTGTACCAGTGCGAGGAAAGACGTGGAAAACGTCGAAGGAGCCATCTTCAGCGGTGAAGGTGGGGGGAATATCGGTGATATCACCATAGCGGAGGAGCTGCTCCAAAACCGCGCGCTGGGACTCGTCCAAAGGCTGGGAAAGGTGGACATAGTGAATCCATTGCGCACGGACATCGCTGGCTCCAATGCTGGCAGCAACTGCGCGTCCACGAGAGTGGGAGAAGGCGACAGAGCCGGGAATGGCCAAGTAGGTCGAGTTGGAGGCCATTTTGAGGTGGTGCAGAGTGAGTCACTCGGTCGGGAGGCGGGAGGGAGGATAGAGGGGGGCGGGGTGGCGGAAAGGAGAGGAAAGGATATAGTCGAGTAGACTGGGATTAGAAGAGAACTAAAGAAGTCCTCTATGAAAGAGGTGTCACAGACACACCTCTAATGAGTGAGTTCAACAGACTGGAGGAAGCGTTTGAGCTGCTTGTCTCTTAGAATCAATCAAAAATTAATCTTTCTGCTCCGTTGACGGAGGGTGGGAAAAACCACCCCGCGCTAGTCTCCTTCCGGCTTATCGTCGCTTCTTATCAGTCACGTGCGGCGCACTTTTCCCCGGAAAACGGCGGCAAAGTGTCGCTGCCTGAGGCAGCTCAGCAGAGTCTCTGGCCCTGTTGGTGTGCCCAGTGCAGCGCAGCACCTGCCTCTTTAGCTCTCTTGTATCAACCGCAATAAAAAGTTGCATACTCGGTATGTACGGGGTTCAGTAGATACTGCTGGTTTTTGGTTTTTTTTGTAGTCACACATAAGAGCTGCTGGAGCTCCTAGATGCCCTAAAGCCGAAACCTGTACTCAGGGTATATGTCAAACAGTCATCATTGCTTCTGTGAAGGATCTTCTCGAGGCTATAATACTTTGATTTCTAACCGGCATACGGAGTAGTGAGCCTTATTTTATATCGTTGTGTTTCGATGATGTCGTTCTCAAGAGTTGCTGCCACAATCTAGGGCGAAGAGCTAGGACCACCTATACACGATTCAATATGTGATCTTTCACTGCCAGTCCCCACTGCAGCTTGAAATTGTAGCATAATGGAATGGGACCTTCTGGGGATTTACTGGGTCCGGGGGAGGTTTTTCAATTTTCATTACATCCCCATTCCGAGCCTGGGCTCTGGGTTCCTTGCCGTTTCGGGCAACATGCTCCGCGTGCCGCCCTGCCGTCGACTGCGAGTTTTCGACCGGCGCTTTGGCAGCCACATCCAATCCTCAACACCTTGGCACGGTATGAGCTCAGCCATTTCGAGGCCAGATATTGGTTTCTACACTCATCTCGACAGTCTACATCTACGGGATTTTCCAAGGTCCAGGATCAGGCTATTCGGAGTCATATCTCCACCTCGAGACGGTATACGTGACCGACTCGGCCATTCCGTCACGTGTCCTCGTAGGCTAGTCGCCAATTCTGCCCTGCGTCTCTGGTAAATTTCCAGATCTCGTCTTCCGGACCTCAGACGAAAGGCTTACTTCTCGGTATACTCCAACTTCACGCTTGGAACCGAGAGCAGCAACGTCCCCTTGTTTGTTCAGGTTTAAGGTCGCGATTCGAGGTATGTATTGTGTGTGTGCGTGCGTGCACGTGCATAATACAACATACCTCATTTAGCTACCCGTGCGCAGACGTAATTCTATCAGAGATAACCAACAAATCCTTTACCATGGCATGACTTGTATATAGCATCTTTTGCAGAAGTCTAGAACTCCCTTCAATTGAATTATCATCTCAAGTCGGATCAGGGAGATAATCTGATCGGGGTCTCGAGCCATATTGCCGTAAGTGGCTAGCTTTGCCTACCGAGTCGGGAAATATGGCCCCTGCGGCTGTGGATCCGGGCTGGCGGGTTGCCTTTTCAGGCATCTTGATCTTTTCGACTTTGCCATCTAATCTGTTGTTTGTAGGTTCTCGCGGCATCTCGACCGAATCATCAGAACTTTTCATTGCTCATGTGTTAATGTCTATAGCGTTGTGTCCATGGCTCATCTCTATAAATGCAGGCATATAGTCTGCTCATCGACACCATGTTCTTTATCGCATCAACCTCATATACTGTGGTATCCGTCTCTGAATAGTGTCCATTCACACTCCAAACATGGAGCCTCTAGAACGAGTCAAGACCCATAATGACTATCCCCGCCGAACCCACTCAATGGCATCAGCCCCGAACTCGGACCCCTTGGACCTACCATACCGAGAGGTGAACGATGGAGCCAACATGGAAGAATATACTACGGAAACAACAACCGGGGAGATAATCAAGCCAGTGCGGTCTGCCCTGACAGGAAAGGATGAAGACTGGAGGCTGGTCACCTTCAGCATCGATGATCCGGAGAACCCCAAAAACTGGTCCAAGGCATACAAGTGGTACTGTACCATGGTTGTTTCGTTCACTTGCTTCGTGGTCGCTTTCTCAAGCAGTGTCATCACCGCCGATATTGAAGGACCCTCGGAAACATTTGGCGTTTCCAGAGAGGTTAGTTTGGTCGTGGTGACTGTCTTCGTCATTGGATTTGGAGTCGGTAAGTCTCATCCTGACTGGGAATGTCTATATCTACCAATATCACTCAGCTCAGAGTGACTGACTGGTTGTCTGTAGGTCCAATGGTGTTCGCCCCTCTATCGGAGATTGTAGGCCGCAGACTCGTCTATGCATCCACCTTGCTCTTGGCCGTCATCTTCGTCATTCCATGTGCTGTTGCTCCCAACATTGCGACCCTTATCGTCTGCAGAGCAATTGATGGCATTGCATTCAGCGCGCCGATGACACTGGTAGGCGGCACACTGGCCGATCTGTGGAAAAACGAAGAACGAGGTGTCCCGATGGCAGCCTTCTCAGCTAGCCCATTCCTTGGTCCGGCCATCGGTCCTCTCGCTGGTGGCTACCTTGCCGATGCAACAAATTGGAAATGGCTCTACTGGTTGCAGCTGATCCTTGCCTTTGTGGCTTGGGTGCTGATCACGTTCACTGTCCCTGAGACTTATGCGCCTACACTGTTGAAGCGAAGGGCGAAGAAGCTCAGGAAGGAAAAGGACGACCCAAAATACGTCACTGAGATGGAGCTTGATGCTAGACCGCTGGCAGAGAGATTGCGGATGACTCTCTTCCGTCCCTTCCAACTTCTGTGTCTGGAGCCTATTGTTTTGTTCATCGCTCTCTACATGTCAGTCCTGTACGGCCTACTCTACATGTTCTTCATTGCGTGAGTATTTGTCCCTTAGATTGGTACAGAGCGAATCTTCTAATTCTCTTCCCCGCAGCTACCCGGTTGTTTATCAAGGTGGTAAAGGCTGGAGTGCCGGATCGACGGGGTTGATGTTCATCCCTCTCGCTATTGGTGTTCTCATGAGCGCTGCATGTGCACCATTCGTGAACAAGCACTACTTGTCACTGTACAAGAAGTATAATGGAAAGCCCCCTGCTGAAGCTCGTCTGATTCCTATGATGTTCTCCTGCTGGCTTATTCCGATCGGACTCTTCATCTTCGCCTGGACCTCCTATCCCAGACTTCATTGGATCGGTCCTGCAATCGGAGGCTGGCCAGTCGGGTTTGGTTTCATCTTCTTGTATAACTCGGCCAATAACTATCTTGGTAAGTCACCCCAAGCACATCCAGCCAAGATCGATTGCTCATTCAATCATAGTGGATACCTATCAGCACCAGGCCGCCTCCGCCCTTGCCGCCAAGACATTCCTTCGATCCATCTGGGGTGCATCCACTGTTCTATTCACTGAGCAGATGTACGCCCGACTCGGCTATCAGTGGGCCAGCTCCCTGCTTGCCTTCATCGCCCTCGCCTGCTGTGCAATTCCTTATGTCTTCTATTTCAAGGGGGCGTCAATTCGTCGTTTCTCCAAGTTCGCTTTCAGCGACGACGAAGAACAGGGAGAGAAGCATTAGAGGGCGATGTTAATCGATCGCTTGCTTGATAGCATACTGCACTATTAGGTTTGCATGCTTGGCATGCTGCACGATGGACTGTACACTAATTAGATGTTCGATGACGCGTTGCGAGTTATGATTTATGTTGATACCAAGCACACTAGAAAATCTGTTAATAGATATTAGTTAATGCATTATATAATTTTGGTGAAAGACTCCTCTCATCTGAAAATAAGCTTAGAAATAGCCACATGTTTGGAACAGGATCTCCGTCTGCAGAAACGGCCAGGGTACAAGGCCTGGTCATTCATGAGGACACAATTCATCATCTCGACTCCATTTGACCGAGATTAAAGTTCTATGCCCGAGATTTGACAGCATTCTTTTCCCGCATTTAGATGTTTCCTCCGACATCCGACCTCCGACATCCCCAGTTTTCCTCGGCGTTTGAGGATGACCCTAGTGATGACGAGGCCTCTCCACTTGGTCTCGAATGTCCATAGCTCGCCCTATGGCTGCGCATACCTCTACGATGTTGCTTTGGTTGTACAATAACATTATATTCGCCCCTATATTCAGTCATCCTCTCGCCCTCATCCCAGACAGCCACTTCGAATCCCTTCGCCTACCCCAACAAACACCATGCGCACCACCACAATTTTCTCGCCGGCCCTGCTCGCAGCAACATCCCTGGCACAAACACCAAAGGGGAGCTGGCCAGCAACGCAAATCAATTTAGGCGCCTCGTTCGAGAACGAAACTGTGACCCCTGGTCTCTGGATCAATCCCGACGGTATGGTACCCAATACATCACAGTCCTTCAAACCATGAGACTCCTTCAACGCACTGACACAATCGCTCTATAGATGTGACATCCGCACCATCCATCTACCCCAGCAACATCAAGCATGCCTACCCAGGAACCTACATGATCTTAATGCTTGACCTCAACATCCCGGACTCCGACGTCACCACAGCAGACAAGTACTCCACCCTTGTCCCTGGGCTGGCAGCCAATACCACCACTCGTCTGCACTGGTGGGGTGGGAACTACACCTTGGAAGGTCGAACATTCGTCAACGCAAGCGATGCCCTAGCACCGTATACCGCCCCGCGACCCAGGGACAGCACTCAGCATGCATACACAATCTACCTCTTCAACCAGCCAAAGGGTTATGTTCCGCCTGCTGCGGCTGCCGAAGGACTGTACTATGATCAGACCACGGATGCACGGTTCAATTTCAGCTTGGCTCCTGTTGTGAGGGCGGTGGGTTGGCCGGTGGCAGCGACGTACTTTGTTAGTTCGGCGACGGATTGAAGAGAATGAGGTATGATTGTAGTGGGTTCGGTTGAGGTGGTAGTTGTTCGGCAAGACTGGCAGGTGGCAAGGGTTGGGTAGCGGTGCCAGTTTGTAAGAGCCAGAGTCCTCAGCAACCACTCACTTTATCTATCATGAGAGCTCTTGACAGAGAGTCTACCGCTTGGTCTGTTCACTACCGGTTCTTAGCTAGTCCCTCTGATGGTCAGTCCTTCGTAGCTGAAATGATCGCCATCCACGTTCTCCATGAGGTGTCTGATTTTCAATCGTGCCTTGAAATTTGCTGTCCTTATATTCGTCTTCTTGCTACCAGGTATGCAAAACTACAGATCTGTATACATCATGTGATTTGGGTTCCGACTGGTGCAAGAGGTCAACATTGAAGGATACCACCTCTATATGTGGGTGGGGATTATCGTTTCTGTAAAAGCTTCACCACTGCCTCATGACCATTCTCCAACGCCTTGTCGAGGGGCGTACAGCCTTTGCTGTCTTTCACGTCCACATCCACATTCTCCGTTGCAAGCAGAAGCTTTACTACTGCCTCATAGCCCCTTCCTGCCGCCGCGTGCAGTGGTGTCTGGCTCCAATCGTCCTGAATATTAACATCAACCTTCTCTGTTGCAAGCAGAAGCTTGACCACTGCCTCGTGGCCCCTTTCGGCTGCCCAGAACAGCGGTGTCCAGCCCCTTATATCTTTAGAATTAACATCAACCTTCTCTGATGCAAGCAGAAGCTTGACCACTGCCTCGCGGCCGTTTACAGCTGCCCAGAACAGCGGTGTCCTGCTATTCACATCTTTAGAATTAACATCAACCTTCTCTGTTGCAAGCAGGAGCTTGACCACTGCCTCATGGCCACTTTCGGCTGCCCGCAACAGCGGTGTCCAGCTATTCACATCCTTAGAATCAACATCAACCTTCTCTGTTGCAAGCAGAAATTTGACTACTGCCTCGCGGCCCCATTCGGCTGCTAGAGAAAGTGGTGTCCGGCCATCTTCATCCTTAAAATTAATATCAACCCTCTCTGTTGCAAGCAGAAGCCTGACCACTGCCTCGTGGCCATATTGGGCTGCCAGAGAAAATGCTGTCTGGCCATTTTTAGAATCTGTTAAGTTGATATCCACCTGTTTCATCGCAAGCAGAAGCTTAACCACTATCTCGTGGCCATATTTGGCTGCCAGAGAAAGTGCTGTCCGGCCACTTTTAGAATCTGTTGAGTTGATATCCACCTGTTCTATTGCAAGCAGAAGCTTGACCACTGTCTCGTGGCCATTTTTGGCTGCCAGAGAAAGTGCTGTCCGGCCATATTCAGAATCCGTGGAATTGATATCCACCTGCTCTGTTGCAAGCAGAAGCTTGACTACACCAGTCAACCCTAAAAATGATGCAATCAGAAACCTTGAAGAAAGATATGACATGTCCCACTTAGTCCATCTATAAACACGAGACCATTCCTGATATGAATCAGAGGATGGGTCACAGATTGAGTGTGCACGTTTGATTAGCGGATCCTCGTCTCGCAACTGCGCTTGATGGTAGTGTGTAACCCAGGACTTTGATGCATATCCATCAAAGTCCCCTTGGTGAATACCTCTCCTATCACCAGTCATCCACGAGATCCATGCAATGCATATAGTGGCAAGAATCCGATGAGACTCCACTGGTACGAGTACATGCTTCCATCCGGTGACCTGGAACACACTCTCCTCAATAGCGGACCTGTTACTCAAGACTAAGAATTCCTTCGCTGTTTGGTGCAGGAGGTAAACTTTCTCATTTATGATAACGACGAAGAGTCCACACAAGTCCCTGAGGGTCTTTCTGAAGCGCTCTTTCGGTTCGACATCATCAATTATAGCCGTCAATGTTTGGCAGTCCGCATTGAGGTGCAATGCCAAGGCAAGAGATAGCTCTTCCAGCGAGAGTGGCTCTACCGCAGCGGTAATCATATGAAGAAGAGCTTTAGCTTTGGGTTTATCAACACTCCTGTCCAAAATCCTTTCATAGGCGCTTTCAACGGTTTTTGGAAGATTCTGTACCACTCGACGGACATTGCCTTTCGTGAAACCTGGTATGTTCTCGACAACATCTAAGGTAAGACTAACCCACAAGTAGGTTCTATTTTCAACAGCAGTCATTTGGTGTTCGAGCATGCTGCATTCGTCTTCCTCTAGAGATTTACTTTGACCGATATCGATCACCCGTTTTCTGATGACAAGGTTGATCTCACGAGATATTTGCTGGACCTCTTGCTCGTCATCACCGCTCAAGTGAATCGTAGGTAGTTTTGTCTCGAGATCCGAGAATCCACGACGTATGTGGTCGTATGGTCTGCTTGTCATCAAGAACTTGAGCCTGCTTTTTCGATACGGTCCCAAGTAGAACTCTCTAACTGCTTCGATAAGTTGGGCATGGTCATGACACTCGTCTAATGCGTCCAGAATGCAGATAATCTCCCCGTCCGTTAGACGAGCAGCAGCAGATATAAGCATTTCCCATAACCCAGACCATGATCGAATAAGCTGTTCTCCCTCGGTCTCCATCTTGATCAATTCTCTATCGTGTAGAAGCTGGGGCTGCGCAATGAATAATTGACGTAAGATGGCTGCCAGTGCACCTGCTGCACTTCTCTGATCTGGAAAGTCGTCTTTGAAGAAGAAGTAACAAACGGTTCGTGTATTGTCATTGAGAAGAAGGTCATCAACTAGGTATCTAGTTAAGACTGACTTGCCGCAACCTGGATCGGCTGAGACCCATAAGAGACCAGCGGGGTCATCAGGAGAACTCTGGTGCCACTTGTGAAATTTACCATGTGTTGTAAACCATTCGCATGTTCCAGGCACACGCCTATCATTTCTGTTTTTCCGATCCTTGTAGGGGCAAGTGTATAGCAACTTGAGAAACTTTCTGACCCTCTCATCTCGAGCCGATGTTGTCGCCCATAGATCGCGTTGGTGTGCGGCATTTCGGATTTCTTCGATTCGTTCCAGAAGATCCTTCTGCTTCTGCCTTGTGCCTCTAGCTTCAATGAGGGAAGTCGTAGTTTCGATGGACTTTTCATGTTTCTCAATATCTTGGCACAGGCTAGCCCATCCGTCCGAGTCCAAGAAGTCTCTCAGAAACTGCGCAGCTGAGCGTCTATGTAAGTAACAGAGTGCGCGGGCCTGGAACTCGAGAATTTTGCAGCAAAGTGAGGTCAAAAACTCCCTGAGTTGTTTTAGAAGATATGTTTCCTGGTCCGTCTGGGAACTCAGGTACAGATCTTCCCTCGCGCGAAGTCGAATCATGGACTCGGAAATCAGGTCTAATCCTCGGAGAAGGACGGCGTGCTGTTCTACTGCTTGGATAATCATCTGAATGAAGTTAGTAGTCTGCGAACAACAGAGCGCGTCGGCGAGGGCATCAAGTCAGGGCTTACCGTAAAGCACACCATCACACCAGCGCAGGCAATCGAGGCGGGCGGGCTTGCACTTGCAGCCGTACTGACAACATCCTTAAAGGCGAGGATGTTTTTGAACACTTATTTGAGCTGGTCTCGCACAGGGACACTATGGTCTCCCAGGTGAACTTCCCATTTCTTTGACTCGGCTTCAGCTGTTTTGGCATTAAGGAGTTTGCAGAGTTGTTCGTGGTAACTTGGATCACCGTGTTCCAGATCAAGACGATATTGAGATTCCAGTATATCCATCGATTCCGATAGGACTTCGGCCAAATCAGGGTTCTGTTTCATATTTTGCTCGGCTAAGATCCAGAGATCGCTGGGTGGAGAGATTGACCGGGGGTGCTTTTCTGGCTTGCATTCCGACTCCTCTGGCGAGGTTGTATCCTCCTTTTTCGGTCTGGTTTTGTTTTCAGACGGTGTTTTCTCTTTCTGTCGCCGTGGTTTCTTGAAAAGCCGCTTAGCCATAGAGCGGATATCATGCATGGTAGTGACTCTCGTTGAATCTTGCGGTTGGAGATGATGAGAGCCTTTCTGTGTTGACTTTCAGGAGGATTGTCACCGGTACTTTTAGAGCGGCAGTAAAACATTGGAAGCTGGGTGCTAGTTCGCTTATATGTTTGCTTGTCACCACCGGACCCCGCCCCCCTCCCTGATGTGTTGGTGCGGCTGAACGGCAGGGGTACGACAATGCAGTGCTGATCGCCATCACAAGAAAACGATTCAGAACATCGATCTATTGCAGTCCTACTCTCGAAAAAGAGACGGAGTGGCCCTGCGTATTGCTCTAAAATATCCGTCGACACAACTGCCTTACTAGATTGGAAAGCGTCATCCGACCGAGACAAGAGGCATTCATTGCGATTGAGGTGTTATGCTCATGACACTGGATGTTGATTGTGTGATTCTCCATTTGTGATGCATCGAGCAGTATTGCAGATGGCCGTCGCCAACCCAATCACTATTTGTCCATACCATTTGCATTAAACTGCTATGGGTAAGGTGGTGAGCGGGAGATAATTATAGACCCGATTTTGTATATCTTTCTTGAAATCTTACACCAAACTCCTTGTTCTGTATTGTGTTAGCTATCTTGAGTCAAGTCAATCTTAAGCCAGAGGAGTCGATCGCAAAAAATGGAAAGTTTTCCTCAATGATAAAGAAGCCTAGTAGAAGTCCCTTCAGAGTTACGGGAGTCTTCATATTCAAGGATAATATTTCTTGAGTAGGCTTAGTGCTCCTCTGTATCACTTCAAGTGTAGCGACGAACTAATCACTATATAGTTAATAGATCGATCGAAGAGTAGTACGCAAGGCAGTAAGGCAGCAAGCATTGATTTCTGGGATCGTTACGTCATTTCATTCATCCCTGGTAGGGCTTAGGGCTGGGCGAACCTCTGATCGACTCCCCTCACATCACGTGAGCAACTGCCGTCGATTTCGATTGCTGAGTCAGGTGGGCCTCCCCAAGGGGATGTTTTTCCAGTCAAACTGGAACTTGGCGGCGGTTTCCAGTTCCAATCTTGCGCCCTGCTACCTCGGGAGCACATTCTCGTCAGCCAAGCCATGTTGGGCCCCTCAACATCCACGCTACACCTTGCACAATCATTCATGGACTGATCTTCTTCTCGTCTTATCAAACATATCCAATGTGAACACCGCGAACATCCTGCTCAGTGCCCGCGCCCATTCATTATCCCGCATTAATTCCGTCATCTCCGCTGTTGTGTTCGCATGTTCTAGCTTCGAGATAGCAATCCACATCCTTACACCGACGATCCTTCACTTCTCGAGCAGAAGCTCGAGAAACCCACTTCTCGTCTCTTCGCTCACTTCACTACCCACAATGACTTCTCCTTATCAGTCGTCCATCTCGTACTCGCCGTCCGTCGCTGGTCCCGACATGGCGGGCACGTCCCGGGCCATCGCCGACCTGCCTCAATCCCAAGTCGACGCGATTATCCGCACAAAACGGAAGGCGCGCGAACCCAAGGCCTGCTACCCCTGTCACGCTCGGAAAGTGAAATGTGACCGTAATCTTCCCTGCGATGGCTGTGTCAAGCGCGACCATGCCGATCTCTGCTCCTACGAACGCCCCTCCAAGAAGCGCATCATGACGGGCTCGCTTCCGCAATCATTTAGTCCAACCGTCCCTGGGGAGACCATCATAATTCCACCCGAGCCTCCAGCACGCCCGAAACCAGAGGCGCCAGTTAATCGACCAAGCTTGGTGGGCCAGGTAGGGCCCGGGCGAGTATCGATCGCGCGGGAGGAATGGGACAATGTTCGCACTCGGTTGCGGGAGATGGAGCAAACGATCAGCAATCTGCGGGTTGGACTCGAGAGAGCCGAAGATGGACACGGTTCTTCGCTGGAGACCGGGAGCATACAGAGTGGTGATGCCAGTAGTCGGTCGAAGGCTGCTTCCCCGGAGCGGGAGGGCATCCATGCGCCCAACACCTTTGGTGAAGGCACGGTGCACCTGGGGTCCCGGTCGGTGTTGGCGTACATCCTCAACAACAAGTCTGGATCCGATCAGCTTCAGGCCTTGCTGGAAGGTGGGATCTTGCCGAAGCTGGGCCTGGACAACGAATCGGCAACGTATCCGTTTGTTGACCTCTGGTCTTCTGACATGTCAACTTTCGACATCAGCGCCGTCTGCAGTGCCCTTCCTACCGACCAGCAGTGCAAAGAGTCAGTTTGCATCTACCTGTACGTGAGGAATTAATGCTAACCACTTCTGCCTGCAGCTTCTTCTACTATTACCGAGACATCGCAGGCGCCATTTACCCTGTCCTCGAGGATGTTCCACAATTTGAGATGAATCTTCACCTTCTGCTAAGTAACCGAGCATCGATGGGTGGTGTATATCGCGCCGATGCAGACCAATCCCAGAAACCCTTTGGTGTGACTATTGCCTACATGGGGTTGTTGTTCGCCGTGCTCGCCTCTGGCTGTCAATCGTCGGATCTCCCGGGCAAAGAGCGAGAGTTGACATCCCAAGTCTATGGTTCGTCTTTTTCTACCCTCATTTCGTCGACACTTACTGACTATAGTAGTGTGCTGCTCATACCAGTGTCTTCGTATGACCAACTTCCTCTCGCAGCCGACGATAGATGCCATGCAAACACTACTCGTCATTGGCAACGTCTTGTCATACAATATGAACCCCGGAATTTCCTACGTGCTTCTTGGTATGACGCTTCGGATGGGCTTAGCCCTCGGTCTACATGTCGAGTCCAGTCGCTTCTCAGCTGCAGAGCGTTATCGCCGCCGCCACGTTTGGTATGTTGCATTTAGCCCCAACACGAAATGACGTGCAAGGAAGTATGATTCTAACTATAGACAGGTGGTCGATGGCATGGCAAGACAGCCATTTCTCACTTTCCTATGACAGGCCCTCTACGACCGCTGTGTGCCAGCCCGAAATTGCGTATCGTGACAATCCAAAGCCTGGCGAAATCTCGTACTTTGAGACGCTGTGTCGAGTCATTGGTCTTGCATTGGAAGTTGTCCGCAGTCGCATGCTGAGTCCGCACTCGCAATTGAGCTACAAGACTATCCAGGGCTACAAGGAACGCATCCAGCAGATCATGATAGAAGCCAAGCCTCACCTCCGGGATCGTAAATACTGTCTCTCTGCAACGGAGCACCTCGAGCGAGTCGTTCTCAAATTGCACACGTCATACTTCTCCTCCGAGCTTTATCGGCCAGCGTTGAAGCTGACGGGAGAAACGGCCGACCCAGCCGCAGCCAGTATGCGTGCCGACTGTGTCAACAATCTGATGACGACGGTGGAGGCGTACATCGAAATGCATACTGTCAGTTCACATGCGTCTCGATCGTGGATTGCTCTACAGCGAGCCATCAGCTCGATTTTCCTCTTGGCTGTTACCGAAGAATCCAAAACCATCCCCCGTTTCTGGAGCTTGCTGCAGCAGCTCAAGGTCATTATCTCTGAGCGAGCGAACGCCGAGCTTGACTTCAACTCAGCTGATGCCGCTGCTCCTCCGACGGATGGGGCCGCTCCCCCTACACTCAGCACCATTCCTCGAGCACCTAGCACTGCCGCCCCGAGTCCAGCAGGCTTGAACTCTGCATCACCCGGATCCGTTGGTGTCGGTGTTGATACGCAGACGCAGTGGGCCAAGCCGTTGACCAAAACCCTCCGCGCACTGGAGAAACTCGAAGCAGCATTCACCACCCAGGCCGCTCGAGCCGCCGGTCAGGCCGGGTCCCCAGCGTACCTTAACCCGCATGCAGGGTCCAGCATGGGAGTTGCCGGTGTAGCAGCTAGTATGACACCGAGCCTCGGATCTCTCCCGCCTCCGACTCCGGAGAGTTCCACCAGCGGCGAGTGGTCCATACCTAATATCCTCGATCGTGCGGCCGAGTACATTCATCCACCCTTGTGGAGCTGAGCGCGATAGTAGGAGAAGGGTAATGAACATCATACTGGCGTTTGTGTGGCTCTTTAGCATTTACTGAGATGGTGGGGTTAGCTGGGACTAGGCGATTATGATCACTGCCGGCGCATGTTATGTGGAGTTCGAAAATGGGTTCAAGTTGTTGTCATTAGATACTCCCTCTTCATTTTAATTTATCTATGTGTAGTGTACTCAGGGAATGCAACACGCTTGTATTTCCGCTGTGGTTTGTTTGTTTCTTTCCATCATTAAGTTTGTACCGAGTGGTACTGGGGCTCAATCTCCGTTATCGCCGGATCAATGACCTCATCGCCAACCTGCAGCCGTTATCAAATCACTGACTCGGAACAGAACATCTCGTCCTCGGTTTCTAACATCTACAATTCCAAATCCTACGCACTGAGGGATGTGGGCCACCTCTCGCTCAAGTAGACCGGAGCCCGAGCACTTTAACTCCGCAATACACTCTTGACCAGCAACACCAAATCAACCATCCACCTCAATCAGAGCCATAGTATCACAGTCCACAGTCCAGTCTACGGTTTACGCAGTTCGAACTATTCTCACCCACGATCTCAAAGTGCTTCCAACAATCCACCAACCCTCAACATCCCCCAAGAACAATGACGACCTACCTGATAACCGGCGCAACCCGGGGCATCGGCCTCGAACTCACGCGCCAACTGGCCGTCAAGCCGGCCAGTGAAGTCTGGCATATCTTCGCCGCCGCGCGATCATTATCATCACCGTCACCATCATCGACAACAACCAGCCAAACGCCATCCGACTTTCAAGCCCTCGTGAATGAGCATTCCTCGCGCATCACGCCCGTCCCCCTCGACATCACCGACGAAGCCGGCGTACGACGAGCCGCGCAGTTGGTCGAGCAGGCGCTGGAGGGCCGGGGGTTGGATGTCTTGATCAACAATGCGGGGGTGATGGGGCGGGGGTCGTTGCTGGAGATGTATCTCCCCTCCTTTTCCCTTACTTTGCCTATCTTCTCGGTAGGGGTGTCAGTAGACGGTACCTCAAGACTAACATGGAATGGGGAACGCAGGAACGACCTCACCTCCTCCTTCGACGTCAACGTCAACGGCCCGCATCTCGTCACGCGCGAGTTCCTCCCGCTGTTGCGGAGGGGCACCACAAAGAAGATTGTGAATATGTTCGTCCCCCATCCCACTTTCTGGGTGAAACTGACGAAAGCAGCTCCACAACCGTCGGCTCCTTCGCGATGCAATCCGTCTACCGGGAGGCCATGAGTCAGTCGTACAAGATCACCAAGGCGGCGCTGAACATGCTTACCGTGCTGTACGCGCAGGAACTCGAGCAGGAGGGGTTCGCGGTGTTTTGCGTTAGTCCGGGGGTGCGTTCGTCCCGTCCTTCTATCCTTCCTTCCTTCCTTCTGTTCTTCCTTTCTTCAACCATTGGGATCTGGTCAGAATGGTCGGAATGGTCATCAAGGCCAGAGGAGAGTCATAAGGTCAATGCTAATTCAACCGCAGTGGCTCCAAACCGAGATGGGCGGTCCGCGGGCGGATCTCCCGGTGGCGGACGGCGTGCGCGCAACGCTGGAGATCATCCTCAACAAGGGGAAGGAGGGGAACGGGCGGTTTTTCAACATCCACATTCCGGGCTGGGATTCGGGGTGGAATCGGTATGATGGCGGGGAGTGTGCGTGGTAGGTTGGTTGGTTGCTCTTCTGCTCTGTCACGGAGAGAGGAATGAGTATAGGTGTACTCCGTAGAATCCAAACGAAACCTTCTGGCTTTGGTCAAACTGGATCTCAATTGCGAATCTACTCCTGCTGCCTAAAGCAAAGGCCGTAGACAAGGATCCTCAGCTCAACCCCGACCCTCCCTCGGACAATGTTACCAATCCCATTTACCCACCCATCCATCCGAACAAACAAAACCCATCACCAGCAACCAGACAAGACAGCACCGAGCAACCAAATCAGTCCCAATCCCAAGAAACCCAGTGACGGAATCCAATCCCTCCTGCGAACGGATCCCACAAACCCGAGCCCGAGCCCTCTCTCTAAACTAGCCCTCCCCCTCTCCCCCTTTTTCCCACGAGAACCCCCAGTTCCTCCCCAAACCAAACAAAAGCAAAAAGCAAGAAAAGAAAAAGCAAACATCCTCCCTCCCTCCCTCCACCTCCACCTCCTTCCATCGTATGCCATGCACCACGGCCCGATTGTCACTTGTCTCGTCTGTCACGGTCACTGGATTCAAAATTCCTGTATCCCCAGGTGTATGTATGTATGGATGTATGTACATACTGCGTACCACCACTTCGCTGGCGTGTATCCCTCCGCAGTGAGCGGAGCCAGCTTTCAATGATTATTCCACTGGTGGTGACGATTAGTTCCTCACGGGTACATACATAGACCATACAATGTACCACCCCATCCCTAAGCCCACGCGAGATGGAATAATAAAAGGTACACGGCAGTGAGTTTCCCACGCGGTGGCGATACTTTAGAGGTACTACCGACTCCGTACATTGTACATAGAAGAGCTACTAATTCTTCTTTTTCGAGTGCAATCGGCATGGCAAGGATACGTACAGGAAAGGGGGCAAGAATCACGGGGGTCGGTAGACTCCGACGTCTTGCTGTCCGGGCTTGGACATACGATGAACTGTGGTCGAAACAGCGACTGCTGCATTTTGTTTTGTTTATCGTCTGGTGTGTGCTATGATGCATACATCTACCGTGCCCCAAGGATGGGGATCCTGGTCTACTTCTTCTAAGACATTCAGCGCTGTTCCGCTCAGATTGGTGCGTCTTAACTCCTTTTAAGTCCATAACTGCGGTGGGTGCACTTCGGCGTTCCTTCTGAGACGCGCAAAGCTCGTGCTGCAAACTACTGCATGCGGAACCAGGGAGGGAGAAATCGAGGACGACAAACAGTGATCAACGAATACTGGCAGAGTACTCCGTATGAGTCCTAGTAGCTCAGGTGAGGTCGGACTTTACACTTAGCAGCCGCCATGTTTGCTTCTTGCCACAGCAACTGTCTTCCGTAGCTCACCGCTTCATCATGTCCAGAAGCTACGAGGTACTCTCCCAACTACAATTCACCGTCGTCATATCTTGACATCTATCCTATCGCAAAGAAAGAGCTGATGAAGAATCACTGGATCTGATTTCGCAGTCTATGTACCACAATCTCCTCCCAAAAGCTCAACATTGGTATATATATAAAAATGAAGTCCATTCACATCATCATCAGCTGCATGCTTTCATTGGCCGGTAGCGAATGTAGCGGACAAACAGACGTTGAAGTACCTGCATTAACCCAGTCACTAGCTGCCATCATGCCAGGGGATCCAGCCATCGACCCCTGGTTCTGGCACTGGCACAAGGTTTCATGCAACTCAACAGGACTCGACGATCCTGAGAGTTCGACGGTGCTGCTTGCAGTCGGTGGTGATTGCGCCGTTGGTAGGCTGGTCGGCGCTGAACCATGCTGCGTATTCTGCGAGAGCACGATAATTGCCTTTGGTCGCGCCGGTCCTGTGCTCAAGGCTTGCATGATCTGTGGCAACGCTGCCTCTGTCGCAAGACGGTCAGCTTTATGAGTCTGCAAGCCCAAATGCGTCTTACCTGTTGTGATGTAGTATAGCGACGATCCTGAGTACTGAGTTTGGCCATTCCATGGCTCGCAAAGAGGTGGTGCATTTGCATCAGCTGATGCGTATCCACCTGTCATTCCTTGCAGGATCTCAGAAGCATTGGAGCTAGACCGCGGGAAATAGGGGTGGTTTCGGAGGGCCGACGGGGACATGTTCGAGGCATCTATCTCGGTGATGTCGTACAGAGGCGATGTGATTGTCATTTGCGTCGAGTACAACGGCAATGGCGCCAACGCAGAATTGCATGATGAGCAGAAATATCTTGACTGGGACATATACGCTGATGCATAGCCGGAGGACCCGTCGGTCATCGACGAAGCGGAGGTGCCGTTGGGGTCAAAGACAGGCGAAATTCGATCCATCGTTGGCGGCCCGTTGATTGAGCTGGGATGGTCCCAACCATTGAGGCTTGCAGCTGCTCGTAGTTCACTGGCGATGACGCGCTCCTGAAGCTTTGCGATGCGGTCCCGGATCTTTCGACCTATGTTGCTTGTGAGTGATGGGGTTGACTGCTATCACGTATTGATCCCACTCACGATGATTTCTCTGTGACAAACGATTCTGCAATCTCCTCCGCTCAATCGGATCCTGCTTCTGTCCAGAGCTATCGCTAGAGCATCTGTCTTCCTTGGTAGGCTGTGACCGCATCTTCATAGACATCAAAGGAATGGGAGCAAGGCGGGTGTTGAAGTACTGCTGTCGGCGTGAACAAAAATCTTCCGTAACGGCGAACACCATACGCAAGTAGCATTAAAGATAGCCGGGTGCGAGGCTGGAGGCTGGATTCATATATTCGGCGTCTTGCGGGGTAGCAATGCGTGTTGGAAGTGACAGAGCCTCCACCTGCTGCTGCGTGTTTCGCTGTCAAACCGTCAGTAGGCCGATCTTGCTGCAATCTAACCTTCTTTCCTTATAAGGATAATATGCACTCAGCTCACCGTATCCGAGAACTCAAGGGAGCCAAATCCCGGATATTCCAGGGACCTTCTGCTTGATGTGATTGGCTCGAATAGAAAATATTACGAGGTTGCGCAATGGGTGCAACATGAGGTCGGGCGTATAACCAAGGAAAGGTCGTGGCTCGTGCTCGCAAAGCAGTATTTGAATATCCACCGTGCGTGGTTACTCGAACCATTCTATATTTCTTCTCTCAGGCCCTCCAGCCAGCCAGTCAGCCATGGCTCCTTGCTTTTCCACTGCACTGGTACTTGACTCGTGACTTCTCAAGCCACGCGCTGGACGTCCTGTTTCCAGTCCGCGCTGCAACCCCGATCCATGTCATACGCCGGGCCTTGGCTGTAAAGGTGCCCAGACAATAACGATCATAGCTCTGAGGCGCGGGCAAGGCTTCACTTGGCGCTGCTGATCATTGATGGGTGTGTCCAACCATGATCAGCGAACAGGCTTTGCATGAATATCGAGAGGGCTAGGCCACAAAGGTCGAGCCAGATCTGCCCGCCAAATGAGTCTCAGCTGATATTATGCATCCAGCTGTCCGGACCTAGAGTTATTTTTCTCATCGAGTATACTAGTCTGGCAAGACATGCGCACGGATCCAGAGCAATAATTATAATGAACTAACCGAGCTATGCGGCAGCCGGGAACGGATGAGAGCAGGCAGGCCTGGGGCCCTGGAGCCCTGGGGAAGGGCATAAGCAAGTCGTTCCAGTGCTTCGGTATACACTACCACTCCTTTTTTGCATGTACCCGGGAGCGCCGTGTAGTATGACCATGTGTACGGTACCCGTCAGTGCGCATCCTCGATCACGGTGCACCAGTTAGGGCTAAACGACCCTCTTGGCGTAGCTAATGGCGAGCTTACCCAAGCTAGTCTAAACAATACAGACCAACAGCAATGCAGATGATACATTTCTTGGGCTGAACATCATGAGAGTGAGATTAAAATTAGCTCAGCATCCTAGCCTCGAAATGGTATGGCTGGCGTACCGTCACGGTAGCGATTGGGATAGTGAACCAGTTGCATGACCGGTAATACTCGACCATGGCTCGATTGGGTTGCATGTAGGTCAAATGCGAATTGAAAGTGTGGAACTACTGAATACCAGTCAGGATGAAAATTCTTTGCAGGCTTAGTGTCCATCATCACTCGGAGAAACAAGGCTCTCCTACTATGGGCGGATCCGAGAATGACGATTGGTGGTGGTTTGAGGGAGGAGTATTGAGTGGCAGTGTAGAATTGGTCGCTTAGGATGCCTGAGCTCAGCTTCACGGCTGATCTGTCGTCAGCATCGAGCCCTGACGTGGGTTGCCCCGAAGACCAATCAATCGATTTCCTGGCAAGCGAGGTTGGAGAGACTGAAGCCGACAGGCAGATGAGACAGCGTGTCAGATCATTAAGGGCAATAGATCCCAGCTCCGAGTCAATGGAAAGGCAGACCAGGGTATTCGTATCCGGACTGGCGTGTTTTGGATGTGAATTGGCCAGACGGTCACTGGCAAATGATCCAGCTTCTGTGTTACCCCGATGAATCTGGAGCAACTTTGAGCCGTCCTTGGAAGGGAACCGTGATTGTGTGGTAGTACCGATCTCGGGTAACTGGGAAGTGTTTGTTGACTGATCCATTGATGGAATGAATGACTGAATGAGCGGGTCAGTGGGGGGGAAGCAAGAGGGAAGAACGAAGAGGGAAGAGGGAAGTGGAAGCTGAAGGTGGAATCCACCACTTTGGATGGATGGATAGAATAAGGTAAGGCAATGGCACTCGTCCCGTGACTGTCCCTTTTCTGTCTGAAACACACACACTTGCACTTGCACTTGCACTTGCACTTGCACTTACACACCCTCTCTATCTCTCTTGCTCTCTTGCTTCACCCTTTCTGTCACTCTCTCTCGTTCGGTCAGTCTGATCAACAGTCAATTCTAGTTGCATCAGATTGCAGACATGTATCGAATCGAAGATTGATAGCAGACAGACATCCTCAAAAGCAAGTATGGAATGGTTTAAAACCCTCATTATTCCCTGCTGTGACACATTTCCATTGCAGTCGATCATCTCTCCCACTGCGGCCCTTCTCCAATTAACACCCAGCTTCAGGATATGGAAGGAAAAACCGGTTACTTTCCAGTTACCGGTGTCGGCTTCAACCGATCATGAATCTGGGCATGGTCCGAGAGCTGCACGCTGGCTCTGAACTTCCTCCATGGCATTGCTTGAGCGAGTCTAGACGTCAGTTGTCATTCTTGACCAGGTACCCCCGTTACTCTGTTTCCATCTGCTTCTTTCCCAACTCCCTTATGTTCCAGAGAGAGCTTTGGGCATGATTTCCTCCAAGCCCATCACCATGGCTAACGGGACCGCAAGGATGCTGAGTCGCCCGAGGAAGACCGCATTGATGCACTCTCTCGGTACCGTAACATGCTAATCTCAAAAGTTTAAGAAGCCTACATGAATCGGAAACAACGGACCAAGTCAAGAACGAAGTTAGCACTCACGCTAACCCCCACATCACAATCAAGAAAATAGATCATGGAATTCGGGGATCCAGCCCCACATCACGGCAACGGTGCTTGCGAAAGGTGTTGCAATCAGGGCCGGGGCGACTTTTTCTCGGAGGGCCCTACAAGAACAGACGTCGACGCATTGCATTTGATCACATGTCATGGGGAGGGAGGGGCTGGGGGGAGCGTGCTTTTGTCCATCGACGTTCGCCTGTTGGACAAGGGCATCCGAGCGAATTGACTGGATCCCCAGTTGTATGACCCCAGAGATGGCACAGAAAGGCGAATCGGATTTTCATTCAGACGGTCTGTTCGACCACCGTGGGAGGATGGCTGTCTGCAATGATCGGTTGCACTGCGAAGTGGCTTGAACTCTGCTGATCGTTGTTAAGGCTATAATGCCTCGGTATGAGCAGGTCGCGTGCGGAAGCAGGGTACTATACCCATAAGCTTGGAATCTGGTTAGATTCGCCCCTCGCCAGCTCTGGGGGTGAGAGTCGTAGGCGGAGGGCAAGGGATGAGGCTCACTTCACTCTCTTCGGCGATAACTCCGCTTCCGTAGCTTGAGTGTGTAGTCAATTATGGGGACCTTCATGCATTTTCTGGTGGACAAAAGGATATAGTTCAAGCATGACACGCAACTCATACAACCCTTGGGTGACTCTCTGGAAGGCACCCTCTACCACAGCAGCTGTCTCTGCTCCACCACCGATAGATTCCAGGCCCTCTAAGCTCTTACATAGAAATAGATGCTCACGGATCAGATGCGTTGGTGGCGTTGGTGCGAGGCAAGCACTACTCAACTGCGTGAGATCATCATCCTTATGCCGCTTCTGAGGCAAGATATGATGAAGCTCTCGGCGAATCATATACAGGAGATGAGCTCCCAAAGCCACTTCCTTCACATTCAATCCAGAGAGACTTAAGACCTGATTTTTTTACGTCACAATATCCTTCGGTATACTCATTCCTCCTCCGCTGACTTCTATTGACGTATGTTAAGATCCACCTTTTATCTTTAGAATTTTACCATACATCAATATAACTATTTCTAGTGGCAAAGGAAGAATATTTGATCAGTTCAAAGAAACAGAGTCATTTACATCTTCATAACAGGTCAAAGTCGCTCGGAATAAAGGAAGATATACCTCTATTTTGGGAACTCCTCCAATCTTAGGTCACCAGACAATGCCCTCCCTGAAATTCATCTGTTTTACTCCCACGGAGATCAGCGAGACGGCTGCAGTGGCGACGGCACTACCCAAAAAATATACACAACCGGCAGATCTGAAATCCGCTTAAAACTTCCCACATATAGTATTGACAGTCAACACTGTCTGTACCTCCATGGCATTGCCTTTAATTCCAGCCTTTCCCGGATCATGTAGTCCACCGCTTACTTGCAAGTCTCGGCTATGTATAATCCTGCCTACTAAGACGCGGGCCGTACCGTCTATTCCATGGATCGATAGATCCCATCACGGGATGAAAGGTCTAGGCCCCACAACAATCCCATGGCTGTGGCAAATCCAAGCTCAGTAACTACGATTAAGCAGGAGCTGAAAGATGCGAGGTTGGGACCGTGAGCCCGACACGAGTCGAACGCGCATACTCTCAGAGGCAGTCGGCAAGCTATGTTCTCACCTGGGTAAGTCAGATGATTACTACAAGTCGAAGTCGAAGTAGAGGGAGCTGGGCAATACGGGCATCAAGGAAAGAATCCACATAGCATTAGATCATAGCGAATCAAAAAAGGTCGAATGACCCGGAGTAGTACCACGGAACATGCAACATGTAGCATATATTACAACCGCAATTTGGATATCATGAGGATAAGACACAGAATGGGAAACTCCAAAGACCACCAGAGGGTCTAGCCTGCTCGGGGCCGGGGCCCTGTGACAGCGAAAAGTCCCAGTGGCTTCACGGTGAACGCGCCATTATAGTTTTCGGTCGCCGGGTTGGTCACGTAGTTCTTGTCGGCCAATTCAAATTCCACATCCTTGAGGATGCTGACCAGCGTGAAGAACGACCACTCCCACGCGTACTGCTTCCCGATACAGTGACGCTTGCCGTTTCCGAATCCTTTCTTGACACTCGACGGCAACCGGTCGTACTTCTCGCCGACCATACGCTCGGGCTTGAATGCATCGGGATCCTCGAAGATGGCCGGGTCGCGATTCACACCATACAGGATCGCGATGAGGGGTTGATCACGCGGAACTTCATACTCGCCTCCAGCGAGGTAGACTGGGCCTTCGTCGGATGGGATGGCTTCAATGTTGAAGCCAGGGGCCGGAGGGGCGAGACGCATGGCTTCGCGGAGAATGGCAGTGCAGTAGGGGAGGTTTGCCAGATGCTCGTGTTTGATCTGGGCACCGGGTCCTCCAACGACAGCATCCAGTTCTTCCCGGGCGCGCGCAATCTCCTTGGGGTTCTTCATCAGATAGTAAAGGGCGAACGCAACAAGGTTCGGTGCCGTTGCGCTGCCGATAAAGACGTTGATGATTTCGTCAATCTGTTGGACGTCGTCCAATCCCTTTCCTGTTTCTGGATCTGTGCCTTCGATGATCGCGTGTAGCATATCTTTCTTGGCGGACGGGTTGGCGCGCCGATGTGCGATGCAGTCGGCTGAATAATCGCGCAAAGCCTTGTTGAAGTTGTCGAACTTGCGCTGATAGAGGAGCCAGTTGAGAAACTTCGGGCGGCTAGGGCGTCGGACAGCTTCGGTGGTAGCGCCCTCCATGGCCTTGATGAGCGTCGGCTCTGGACCTTCTAGGCAGTGCAGTCGCTGGTCGAAGAAACACAGCATGTTCGCGGCATGGTTAAGACGATCCAAGTCGTCGGTGACATTGACGCGCTGGCGCGGTCCAGCGGTCCACTTCCTGATCAGATCGTTCGATACCTCGCGCATGTCCGTGAAGACCTGCGCGACGGCTTCCGGGGTGACAAGGGGCGCCATGATGCGATGGGCGACGCCCCAAGAGTCCATTTCACTATGGAAGGCTGTGAATAGACTCGAGTGGACCGCCTGTCGAATTTCGACGATGGGCCCGTTGACACATTTTCGAAAACGCTTCTCGTCGCAGATTTCTTCCAGGAGGGCGGCGCCGGTGACCAGAACAATGTCGTGGCCGAGAATGGTGACTTTACAAATGGGACCTGCAAAGCAAAACAAACATTAGAACCGAGAGAATACATCAGGCCTGAAATAGGTGAAGGCTTACGATACTTAGTCGAAAGTTTGTTGAATGACATCCAGGGGTTGCCAGAGTTCACGTCGAAGAGGTTGCCGAGGAGGAAGACCCCCGGGGGCTTGGGAATTGCTGACGGCATGATGTGATGTTCGAGGGACAAACAGAGCAGAAAGCAATAAATTCAAGTCAATCAGAGGACGCAAGCCTGTGTTATAAGCCAGTCAGCCAGCCTCCACACTTTCGGTGTGTAGACGGCGTTTCGGCTCCCCCGTGCGACCTCCATAGAGACGGTACGAGTTGTGAATGGTTCTGAAAGAGTGCTGTGGCTGCAGATCTCAGCTGAGCTGAAATCTCGCCGATTCGCGCGACGATCCCTTCGATAGTCGGTTGTTCGCGCCCTTGACGAGGCCCCACTGGCGTCACCCCAGTGGTCGAGCGCCAGAGCCGATCTCCGCACAGATCATGGTTCATCTGGAGGGTGGGAGCTACCTTGCTTGACGCCACGGGAGGGTATGCCACTCAGAATCGACCGGTTGTCAGCGAAGGGGAGGAATGCTCGTAATGTGGTCCAGGGCCCCAACAAGAGCAGACTCAGTGCATAGTCTCTGTACAGTGTACATGTACATACTGGTTGCATGAGTGATTGCACTGTCGCTGCCCTGCCCTTGAAGGCCGAAGTCGATCACCGACAATCATGATGAAAGAAAGAATTTATCAAATGAAGGGATATTGTTGGTTTGTTTGGATGAAGGAAGCGCACTCCGCAGCTGCAGCGCCAAGAAGGTCCATCGTAACTCCACTTTGGACGTGCCGTAGTGGATAAACAGGGCCCAATGGCATTTCCCACCCACTGCAATCTCACCTCTGCACAACCGAGAGAAAGGAGAGGGCTTGGGGTGAGACAAGTCGTCTGACCGGAGAGGTTCGCTAACCTGCCCAAATCATGGTCGATCGCAAGTCCTTTTAGGTTGATACCAGATTCTGCAGACTAAAGTTGAGTAAGTACTAAAGTAGCACAGGCCCTCTCTGATTATAGTCGAACTCTTACTGGCCGACCACTTCTTGGAACTGAAGCCAAGCGTACCTAGAAGTACTCCGTGGGTGGTCAGAACTGGAATCGAGAGGTTGGAGACTTGGAGTTGAATCGAGTGAGTGAGTGGAGAGCTGAAGATCGATCGGAATGACTGGCCTCTTCTCATGAATTGAAAGATCCATTGAATTGATTTTGCAAGTCACCACCAACTCAACTTACACCCATGAAACTTTCTACCCTGACGTATGTGATACTAGGTTACTAGACCTTCTTTCGTTTGCCCCAACTCGCAACACAGACTAGCGCAACACTGATGCAATAACTACCTATTTATCATGCATGATACCGAGACCATAGTTTGTGACCTGTCAGTAGGTCAGTTGTTGCGTCACCACCAACTTCCAATTTCCCAGTTCCCTCAGCCCATCGCGCCCGTTGCGCTCGTTGCGTCAAATTCAAACATCATGCGACTATCCAGAAGAATGAACGACTCGTATCGGAACCCTCGTTGCTGTTCTTGATACCTTGACTGACCCGGAACACTGCTATTCCAGACGTCACTGTACCCCTCGAAGAGCATACGCCAGTAGCACGCTTCCGCTGCCTTGGTGAGATATCGGTCGCGGAATGTCTGTACACTATTGCTGGCAATGCGTTCTGCCCATGATGGGTCGTCCAACAACGGTTTCAACTTGGCTGCCAAGTCACTGAAACTCCTGTCGACTTCGATGTAATTCTGGCTCGGTCCTTCTGAAATGAGCAGGTAGTGGTGATGCTGAATGTACTGCAGCTTGTGGGCTACAACAACCGAGTTGCACGCCTGGCGGTATTTCAGAGACGCGGAATAAGATCGCCCTAAGATCCATCTTCAGCGTTGCGCTAGACCAGATACAACCATCAGCGTGCAAACGCAAAAGCTTACCTTCAACGTGGGCTATGAACATGTATCGGCAATGGTCCTCTAGGCTCATAACGTTCGTTCGTTGATTCCAATCCACGTGTTTGACATCACCCCACGGCTGGCCTCGCACAGCATCCATCAGCGCGCGCCGCAGCTTAGGTGCGAAACTGGGCTTTCCTCGCCAGACAAGCTGTCTTTTCTTTTGCGACCAGGGAATTTCTGTGCACTTGCTGTGGTCGACTACTTGGTCGTATGGCCCAATGGAATTTTGTACATTCTCCCATGCCCAGTAGCCAAAGTCAGGCATGAGCCAAACCGCCTCTTCACCGGCAGACCTTGCAAATGCCCAGATAGGCTGGTCGTCAGTGGTCACGTCCGTGACTTTATCCTCCACGGAGAAGACAAACTCCAGATCTTGCTGGGAGGCTCGTTCGGGGTTTGTTATCAAGGCACGGTGGATCGCACTCAGGACAGCTAAAATCTTTCGTCGATGATCTTCACCTCGTGATAGCGCGTTCACCACATAAAGCTCTCCGCGATGAATGAACGCCCGCGCCATGCCATGCTTTAACGGGATGTATTCCAAGTGCTCGACGTCGAGGCCACCATGCGTTCTCCAGAATGTCCCTGCACGCAAGATGTCTTCGAACAAACCTGGGAAAGCGGCCATGCACTGAGCTCGACTTAATCCTTCATTGCCACCATCTCGACCAGCCTCAAACTTCCAGGCCGAGACAGCAGGAAGTGCAGTCTGAGAGAGAGGGCTTATTGGGAGCGCAGTTCAAGCAGCTTGCACATTGAAAAGTGGTTGAGGTCAGACACGCACAGTGGCCCGCGGGGATTAACTGAGTAAGTAAAGGGTGGATGTATTCGCGGTCTGAGTTGACGCCGTACCAGATGAGGACGATTCCGACCACAGAGAATAGTCCCATCAAATAGATGGTCTGAAGAAGATGGCTTTGTCGTAAACGCCATCGATGACTTCGAAGGAGTGCCATGATGGAGATAAGGGTGGAGGGGCTCTGCTTGTGTGGATGGTGGCTCCCATTCTGATGAGATGGCAAGGTTGTGGATAGGAGAAGATAGAAAAGGCGGAAAGATGATGGTGGAAGCCTAGAGAGGTCATTCACTGCAATAGTGTGCATCTCTGAGAGCCATGACTTCTCTCTGTGAAAGGGGCTGTGTGATGGAACCTTTGAGAGCTGAGGCATACGCGGCAACTGCTGTAAATTCGTGGCTGTCTCAAATCCTAGAGCTCTAAAGATGTCGATCCTTCTTCTGGTCAGTGATGCCACTGTCATATCTTATTAACTGAGGATATGCTGAAGATTTGAGTACACGTCTGGACAGCCTTCCTTCTGATAATATCACGACGATCTGATTATAGACAGGTGCTGACAGCCGTGGGGGCTTTGTGCTCGAAGTTACATCTCTATGGTGCTCCGGTCTACTTGCTGCTTTACCTTACATGACAGAATATTCTCAATGGTGGTACACTTGATGGTCGTTCCGCAAATCAAGCTCTCAAGGATCGAGCGTAGATTGTTTCAATCCCTGTACGCATAGCATCTGCATCCGACTCGCTGTATAGATACAAGGGATCCACCACTGTCCCGCGCAGTGGATCTTTAAGGGTGACTGCAGTCTGAAACACGGGCTGTCCGTCGACCATAGACGGCGAAATGGTCAATAGTAAACGAAATCCTCTGCATGTCTCTCCTATAAGTAAGCATTGGGCATATCCAAATTGAGGTTGTTAAACGAACCACTAGGTATCTCATACTGCTACTGGGCGGTGAGCCGAACTCTCCAAACAGGCAAGCGCACAGACCACTTCCCACTTGGCAGGTTGACGCGCTTTCAGTTCCATCCATAGTCTCCCAATTGTGTCGTCGGCTTCCATCTTCTACCTTGTCTCCCTTCCAACTTGGGGCCTATACTTAATATTTTCTTTTTGACCAACTACAATCAACCCTCACTCTCTTCTCTCTGCAATCTGTGCAGATCCTGCGCCGCACTACGTACTACGCACGTCAGCGAACGCTTTACCGCCACTCTTTCCCGCGGACTGTTTATCCTCCCGCCCAAACATTCGTCGCCCCTCCAACCCGCCTCATGCCTCTCGGTCGATGGATGCCACCGTCGTGACCGCCCCGTCGTCCGTGAACCTCCCCCTAACAACTCCTGTCTCGCTTTCCACGTGCTCGTCTCGCTCATGGAAAAATTCTTGCGCTCCTGGCGCCAGGATGCGCTGAACCGAGGCCAGCATGACGCAGCCATTTACATCGGCGACAAGGTGCTGGCCCTGACCAGTGAGTCCCCCGACGGTATGCGGCCGTGAGCTCTTTGCTCGCATGTCTACACGGACTAATCTAGGGACCGCCGTGTTCCAGACAGTGACTCAGATGCCTTCTGGCTAGCACAGGTTCATTTCTCGAACAACAACTACGCCCGCGCCCTGGCCCTCCTCTCCCGCAAAGACCTCATCTCCCGAAGCACGGCTTGTCGCTACCTTGCCGCACACTGCTACATCAAGCAGAACCAGTTCGAACAGGCGCTCTCCGTCCTCGGGGACCATAATCCAACTCATCTGGTCCGCAGCAGCAACAGTCGTCGCAAGCTGCAACACGTCAACGGCCAAAGCCATGTTACTTTGCGGAACGGAAAGACAACAGCGTCGCGGATCGACCGTGGCGAGGAGCGGGAAAAAGAAGACGCAAACAATGTCCGATTTGAGGCAGCAATGTGCTACCTGAGGGGGCTCTGTTTCGCGAAGCAGAATGCCTTCGACCGCGCGCGGGATTGTTACAAGGATGCGGTCCGGATCGATGTTCAGTGCTTCGAGGCGTTCGACCAGCTCATGAAGAACTCGCTCATGTCGCCTGCGGAGGAACTGGAGTTCCTCGAGTCGCTCGACTTTGATTCTGTCTCCAGCCCCGATCCGTCAGTCGCGCAAGAGGCGGCCCATTTTACCAAGATGCTATACACCACCCGACTGTCCAAGTACTCCTCCCCTACGATTCTTTCAGATGCCACCGAAACTCTTTCGACGCATTACAACCTATCGGAAAATCCAGATATCTTGCTATCGCGGGCAGAAGCCCTATATACACAGTGTCGGTTCGCACAAGCCCTCGAACTCACCTCGTCTATCCTCTCCACGTCGCAAACGAGTGCATCTTCGACGCAGACGGCAGCTGCAATGCACGTGTCCGCTCAAAGCCACCTTGGACATCCGCCTGCAGTCTATCCCTTACATCTGGCGTGTCTCTACGAGACCGGAGCCACAAACGCACTCTTTCTTTTATCGCATACGCTCGCCGATCACGCTCCAGAGGAATCGTACACTTACCTCGCTATCGGTGTATACTATCTATCGGTTTCCAAGATCGCTGAGGCGCGACGGTTCTTCTCTAAAGCCTCCTTGCTGGATCCCCATTCCGCGCCAGCATGGATTGGCTTTGCCCACACCTTTGCCGCCGAAGGCGAGCACGATCAGGCGATTGCCGCGTATAGCACGGCGGCGCGGCTCTTCCAGGGCAGCCACCTGCCTCAGCTATTCCTAGGCATGCAGCATCTTGCATTAAACAACATGTCCCTTGCTCAAGAGTACCTTTCGGCAGCGTACTCCATGTCCACCGGGGACGCGTCGGGGTCTGCCCCAGCCATCCGTGCCAACCCATCTTCCGAGCTAACGTCTCTTGGTGGCGACCCTTTGGTCCTGAACGAACTCGGGGTTGTCTTCTATCACCAGAACCACCTTGAGGCGGCCGTCGAACTCTTCCGCCGGTCTCTCGCGCTGGCTACATCGCTGGAATGCGAGCCTGGGGCGTGGGTAGCGACGCGTGCGAACTTGGGACATGCCTTGCGTCGCATTGGGCGATTTTCGGAATCGCTGACCGAGTTCGATGAGTGCCTACGCATCGGCGCCGCCGGCGCAAGTTTCGGGTACAGCCCATTCTTAGGGGGCAGCGGCGGGAGCGCATCGGGCGTGGCCACGTCGGGTGTCGGAGGCTACGAAGACCGCGGGCTGGTCGGCTCATTGCACACTGCTCGCGGGCTTGTATTACTGGAGTTGAGCCGCACCATGGAAGCCGTGACAGCGCTACACGAAGCGGTACGAGTGCTTGGGGCCAGCGGGGGCGGCGATGCAGCAGGGGGCGCTGGCATCGCCGGCACACTGCTTTCTCGCGCGCTGGAGATCTGGGCGCTGGAAGGCCAAGAGACCGAACAACTGGTGTTTGAAGAAACTAGAACCACAGCCAGTCGGAGCTCTACGCGATCATCCAAAGGCAAGGGGAAGAGCGTTTCCCGGCGGCGAGGGGCTCGGGAGGAATCGTACACCGAAGAATGGACCGATGAGGTGGCCCATGCCGATGCGCCCAGCGCAGCCGCGTACGCGGAAACGCTCGAAGAGAAAGTGGAGATGGAGCTGGACGACGAAGCGGACGGCATGCTGCGGCAGGCAATGAGCCGCGTGCGAGGCGGGCGCAGCAGGCGACGGGTAGTTGAGGCGGAAAGCGACGAGACGCCCGGGCCTGCGAGCGGACGGAGTCGAGGAACGAGGCTGGTGCGAAGCAACACGAGGCAGCAGTGAGATGACATTGGAGCATAGACTACTGGGCGTTCGTTTGGATGAATTATACCCGGGTATTGTTGTATTCCTTGCCGATGGATCCATAGCAGACATTATTTATTTGAGGGGGGAATGCTATTGAATGTAGAAGATGGTTCGTCGCAGCTCTGCTTGAGAGTAAATTGTACACCTGGCAGGCATTATTTTAGATGTAGTGAGGCAGCGCAGCTGACATACTGGTTACTCCGTAGTCGGTAACTGCGTAGGCATATCGATAAGCGCACGTGACTCTCACATGATCCTATCGCTCGATAGCGGCCGGGCGCAAATCGCCTTCGCCTTCGCCGTCGCCATCATCAAGCAATCAACCACCTTCCAACACCAACACTCTCACTTCCACTCACCACTTCCCTCCAACACCATTCTCAACCGCCACCATGTCTGAGCGAAAGGTATATTGCTTCCGAATCACCCACAAAACCCCACATCACCAAACCAAAAACTAACCACCCAAACAGGTCCTGACAAAGTACTACCCCCCGGACTTCGATCCGAGCGCGATCACTCGGGTCCCGAAACACCTGCGCAAGACCGGGCCGAAGGTGATCACCGTGCGCCTGATGGCACCGTTCTCGATGAAATGCGAGAAGTGCGGTGCGTACCAAGCCCCTACCTTCACCCGAATCTCCCATCCGCATCCCCAGTCTCAACCCCCCAGTCCCAATCCCCAGTCCCCATATCACCTCCCCCCCACCCCCCACCACAACCCACACTAATACGTATGCTCCGACAGGCGAATTCATCTACAAAGGCCGCAAATTCAACGCGCGCAAGGAAACCACCTCGGAGAAATACTTCTCGATCCCGATCTACCGGTTCTACATCCGGTGCACGCGGTGCAGCGGGGAGATCACGTTCGTGACGGACCCGAAGAACATGGACTACCGGGCGGAGCGCGGGGCGAAGCGGAACTTCGAGCCGTGGCGCGACGCGGCGCAGCTGCCGAACCACGACGAGACGGAGCAGGAGACGCTGGACCGGCTGGAGCGCGAGGAGGGCGAGGAGGCCGAGCAGGAGGAGCGCGACAAGATGGCGGAGCTCGAGGAGAAGATGCTGGACTCGAAGCGGGAGATGGCGATTGCCGACGCGCTGGATGAGATCCGCACGCGCAATGCCCGGATGGAGCGGACGGAGGCGCTGGGGGAGGAGGGCACCGTTTCGGCGTTGGAGCGCGTGCGCGAGGAGAAGGATGAGGAGGCGGTGCGCGCGGAGCGCGAGATCGAGGAGGCTGCCCGACGCGCGTTTATGACCGAGTCCGGGGAGAGGGTCAAGCGGTTGGTGGAGGTGGAGGAGGAGCCTGCGGCGAGCGGCGGCGGCGGCGGCGGCAGCGGCAGCAACAGTGTTGGTGGCAGCAACGGCAGCAGCAGTAGCTTCCCTGGTGGCGAGCAGTCTGGGGGCCCTGCGCCGCCGCCTTCCTTTGCCCGCGTCAAGAAGGCTAAGAAGCCCTTGGCCAATAGCTTGGGGATCAAGAAGAAGGCCAAGCCGTCGTTGGTCTAGTTCCTTTCTCTACCTTTCACTTCCACAAGGCGTTCGGTTGCATTGCTAAGCATGGGGGGTTTTCATTACTACGAACTCACGATTACTTGCACATAGGTCTTTCAAGGCTCATAATTCTGCTATTCCACCTAACTTCTATTTCGAGCACACACATTTTGTAGTATTTGATCTCCACAGTCAATAGAAAACACTGTCTCAAAGGTCTGAATATAAATGTCCGCGTTGATTAGATTATGATACAACAAACAGCGCAAACTCATGACAACTAAAGCTATCAGATATCGTAACCATGTCCCATAGACTGCGCCCCGAAGCGCCACGCTAGAATGGAAACTCCCATTTGACTTAGCAGACCCGTAAGCTTCTTCCGCAAATCATGAACCAACACTAAACAGAACGCCGCAAGAGAAAAACAAATCAGAGGTATGCCATCCACAGAGCATCACACGAGGCAAGGTGTTGGGGGTTGACGGCCTTGGAGATGAGGTCGATGGTGGTTTGGTTGGCTGGCAGATTGCCCTCCGGAGGACTAGCCAGACTGACTGCCCGGTTGACAATGATATCGCTATTGTTGTAGACCAGATCGCGAAGCTGAGAAGGTGGCAACGCCCCACGATGCTGCGCGGTAGCCCAGAACATCATTTCATCGCGGACAAAAACACTCAGTTGCTGTTCCAGCTCGTGTCGTGGCTCTGTGAGGCACCGAGCAATCGCCATCAGTGCGCAGGCAAAGAGACCCTCGGTTGCGATTGGTCCCAGCAAGGTCTGGATGTTGGGCGTGAAGCGGAACGGCACCTGCTCCGGGTTGTAGAAGAACGCCTTGGCCGGGTTGATGGTGGGAATGAGCTCCGAGCCCCAGATGTCGCCTGTCTGTCTTGAGATCATGATCTTGTTAGGGTAGCGATTACCCATGTGCATCACGTAGGTCATGAAAGCGATCGCCGCGTACTGATAGGCAAATTGCCGTCGGAAGAGCCAGAAGTCCGAGAAGTTCGGATAAATCCTCTGGAAGTAGTCGAGCACAATGTTGCTCGGAACCCATTTCTCCTGAATGGCTGTGAGCATCTCAGTTCGGAGCACCTGCTGTTGGTCGGGAGTACGCTGGGATATGTCAGTCATGTTCCAAATTCTAGATTGACGGAGTCCGCTCACATTCTGTTTCGTTTCTGCCAGTGATCTCATCTTCTCCATCGTGAAGAGAACAGGCTCGTCTTTGTTGATGCCAACCCGTCGGCAGTAGTCCTCATAGATCCCTTGCATAGAGATGTAGGACGGATCATCGCGAACCAAGCGGATGTGGGGCGCCAATGGAACCATGAGTGGCAGATGGAAGTACAAGTTCCGACGGCGGCTCTCCTTGCGCTTGCCCAGGATCCCGTTGAAGATGCGGAACAATTGCAAAATACGCTCCTCTCGCCTACAGTGTCGCGCAGCTGGGTGTTGCACGGCGAAGGCGTGCACACTTCCATCATGGCCCCGAATCTTCAACCGGCGGTGGCAGACACCGATGCCACGTACGAGGTCAATGTCTGGCAAGAACCGATCAATGCGAACAAAGTCCTGGTTCTTATCCTTGTGAAGCAAATACTGGCCTGGTACCTCAACCTCGTCGAACTTGAGGAATCGGAATTCGCTGAGGTGTGGAGAGTAAGTCTCCAAGAACTGATTCTGGGGTCGACGGTCCAGCTTTTCCTCGAACTTATCGCGCCAACGCCGAAGCTTGTGGATGTACTCGTACATCGTTGGTTTCTTGACAACAAAGTCGGCTTCGAAGGACTTGCGAATATGTGCTGGAAGGATAGTCTCTGCGAACCGAGTAATATTCGCCTCGGTGGCAGACGGCAACTTGAAGTCTTGCGCATATGAGCCAGGCATCCGACCAACGTACGCCAGACCGTCGTTCAACAGGGCAACAATGAGACGGTACGCATCCTCATCAGGAGGGCATTTGAAGTTCTTGTGAATCTGGTCGACCATAGTTTCCATGGACAAAGCAAGCAGGGGAAATGCTGTCTTGAGGCCAGACATGATCTCATCGGAGTATTCCCACGGCTTCTTGAGGGGTTCTTTTTCGATCTCTGTGCCGGGAGGCTTAGCATTCGGTTGAGGAACACCGTTCTGACCGGGCACTTGAAGGTGCCCCTGTTGCTGCTGAACCTGAGGCTGCTGCTGCGGCTGCATTGGAGCTTGTCCTGGATTTGGTGGCTGGTTCTGCATCGGTGCGGGAGCCTGGGTCTGACCCTGAGGTTGCTGCATTTGGCCTTGGCCAGGCACTTGCTGTGGCATGTTCGGATTCTTCATCTGTGCTGGATTCGCAGGCTGGCCCTGGTTGACCCCGGCGGGATGGGGCTGAGCTTGATTGGGTACCTGCTGAGGGGTGCCTTGCTGACCATTTGGTTGTGCTGGACTGGGAACAGTGCTGCTCGGCTGAACGTTTTGAGCAGGCGAGGCATCGGTGCTTGTCGGTGCAGTCTTGGCCAGAGGAGACGATTGCTGCTGTTGTTGGCCGTGGGCTCTGGTGCGGCTGAGCTTCTCCTGCTTCGAATCATGCTGTTTCTTGATGTTAAGCATATCTTCCCTGTTCGTACGAAGCAAGAAGAAGAGAGCCTGTGGGAACAGCTTCGCGATCTTGACCAGAACAGCCTTGCACAGCCGCGCCTCACGGTGCGAAAGACTGGTGAGAAGCTGCGGAATGAATGTAATCCAGTACCAGACCGGTGTATCACCTTTGAAGTTCTCGAAAGCTCGAGCAATCTGACCTTCCTCATTGTCTAGGCTTAGAAGCCAAAGGATGCGACTCAGCAGCTTCCGAGATTTGGAATTCTTGTAGAGACCAGCAGCTTCTAGATAGCAACTCACAGCGTTGCTTGCAAGCTCGTAGTCCGAGGGGTCAGCCTTGAACCGTTGGTCACTATACTGACCCCACTCAGACCACGCTTTTGCGAGTCGCAATTCGTAGTACAACGCGACACCAAACGCCTCATTTGCCTCATTGACGTGATTGAGCTTAGCAAGGAACATACCCTTGAGCGTGTAGAACTCTGCTTTTTGTTGCGCACCGAAGTAGTTGAGGTTGGTGTTGTTGATCACATCCAGTCCACTGTTCAATTCCTTCGGATTCTGATAATGGCACTTTGCTTGCTCACGAAGCTTCAAGAATGCCTCTTGAATCTCAATGTTCGGAAGGGTATAGATGCGGCTAAGCTGGTTGATGCACACCTCAGGCATCTGATGCTTACGAGCGACATGAGCGAAACGGTTGATGATCCATGCCGTCTCATGGTACCCGCGATAGGCGTACGAGTTGCTGGCTACATTATTCGTCTGAGGTGGCAACAAACTCAGATAGGTCGCGTTGATAAGCTGGAAGATGTGCTGTCGCCATGTAACGAGGTCTTGCCAAGCATTGATATCATCCCACAGATTGGGCAGACGATCTCTCCACGTTGCCAGCAGCAATTTAAGCTCAGCAGACTTTGTGTCCAGATTGCGTTCGTTCGTTTGAGAGAGACTAGCGCAGATATGGCTGGCATCGTGCAGTTCAACCAGAAGCTGGAAGTGCTGCAGAATCGGGATGTGGGCGTTGGTGATCCTCTTGGGTAGTTGGAGCCATTTGCGGATGGACAGCTGGATAGACTCATCACAAACACCGTTGAAGTCCTGGAGATTCTCCTTCTTTATATGGAACTGAAGCAACGCCATGAAGGACTGGAAGAATGTGCGTCTTGGAGTGGGTGCATCGGAGACAGACTTGATCAGAGATTCGAGCTGCTCCCTACTGCCCTCGCTCTGCCAATTCTCGATGTTTCTCCAAGCAGACTCCAGCAGAAGGTCGTTCAAGTTCTCATGCTTGGCGAAATCGCTCAGGACTTCCCACTGCTGCAACTTCTGTGCGCAGATCAACCAGTGGTCCTCCCACAGGTAGTACTCCCCTTGGGAGAAGGGCATGGCTCCGGAGCGAGCCTTGATCTGGGCATTTTCGTAGAGTTGCTGAGCCTTGTCCCACATGCCTTGTTGCTCGTACGAAAGAGCAGCATTTGTTTCGACAAACTTGCAACGACGCCTCCAAGTGCCGTAGAAGAAATCGTCTTCCTGGAGACCAGCGTATACCTCGACCAAAGCATCCAGATTACTTTCACGCACAGTAGGAGTGTCAATGATGGGACTGATGGCTGACTCCTCGAGGTATGTAGCGGCAGTATACCAGGCATCGTAGGTTCGGCTGAGATACTTCATAACGTGAGGAGGAATCTTGAATCGCGGGCGTGCTCGGACAACGCCCTCGAGCAAGGCTTGCACAACGTTCGGTCGCTTATCCAGCTGTCTTTGATGGTACTCCCGAGTAATGAGCGTCACCACTCCCTTCTCAAGATCGATGCGATCCTCCCTCGAAAGTGTAGACCAGAAAATGGGGAAGAGCGTGGTCCAGAGCTTGTAGGACACATTAGGATCAGTGTGCTGAAGCTGAACCAATGGCTCCACCAGGTCGCGAGCCTTCACATCACCAATCTCTGCAACGAATCGCTTGCGGTCAGTGACGAAGGCTTCCAGTTGTGTGTCGACCATAATATCAGCTTTACGAGGATCCTTTTCGGCATTGCCAAAGAGAAAGGATACAGGATAGACAGTGAAATCATCAGGGTGTAACCTGGCCGAAGACGCCATGTCCACGCAGCCTAAGACCAGATGTGAGGCTTGCGCCAACCAGAAAGAATCAGCAAGGGTGTCCCAGTTCTGACATGTCAATACATAGCTGAGTCGAGAGCTAGCCAAGCGAGTCAGACTGCGGTCGAAGATAGTCATGAAGCGATTGCGCATCTCAACATCTTGAGCTCTGGTGCCAATCAGGAAAGCGTGCTCCAGCCTCACTGTCAATTCGGTGCGAGTGATCTTGGAGTCTTCGTAGATCCTGATGACAAGATCGAGGAACTTCTTCAGCATCGTCTGATCAGGACGAGATTCGAAGAGCAGCATCTTGTGCAAGACAGCCGTCTTTTCCTTTAGCGTAGGCCACGACTCGGTTGAATGGAAGATCCAGGTCTCCACCATACCAAGGACCTTGCTGCAAAGCTTGATGTTCTGCGATCGCTCAACCAGCTGCGCCAGGACACTCAAGAAAGGTCGTCTCTGCTCTCCGAGGTGAGACATGCGCACGGAAACCAATTCGATAGTCTTGAAGATCAAGTCAACG